GATTAGTCTTCTATCTCTCCAATCAATTCCAATTCTCTGTAGGATCCTCATTAATTTCTTCCATTTTACTCGATCGAAAGCCTTCTTCCAGTCGATGAAGCAGGCACATACTTATTGAGCTTAAATTGGTAGAGGCCTTGTGATGGGCTGATCACTCGTCCAAGGATTCCTACCAAATGTTTAGAAAGATCAAGAAACCTCTGAAAGGAGGTGGCCAAGACCCGCACTGGGTTGTAGAGCCACAGGAAGAAGTTATAATCACACATACTGGTACTGAAAATTTGGGTCTTGATATTGAAGTGCTGTTTCTGTATGTTGAATTTCTATTCATGGAGTACGAGAAACAGAAAAGTAAAGCTTGAATTTTTATTCTTTCAACCAAAACTTTTATTAAAAAAGCTATCAGGGCTCAGGGGGAGAGGAGGTATAACTCCTACTCATTCTTAACCTTGCCACTAGATGGGGGTGAGAGGTCAGCATCATGTGCAGGTTTGAGATTAATCAGAATTTTCTGCATATCTTCCCATTTTATTATTTCTGACAGTATCAGAACTTTGTGAATATAACATTATTCTGGGCTTTCAGCATATTTCAGATCCCACTTTAAAGTGTAAAACTCCTATACCAACTGTTATTATCATCATCATCCTTAGAGGTAAATTAAAATCACAACTGTGGATACTTACATCTAAAATGTGGATTTATACCTTTATCTTTCTTGGGTATGCAGAGGCATGACTGCTCAAAGACCAAACTTTAAGGAATAAGTCACAACAGAATTATTTATTATTCTTATGTTAAATGTTGTTGAAGTGACCAACACGAACAATGGCAGCTGAGTTTTGGGTGCTTCTGTGTGTCTGCTGTCAAATACCTTGTGAGCTGATCACCTTTAAAGAGTTGGTGTATAAAGTGTGCAATTACTTCAAGCATGAAGTTGATGCCATGTATATTGCTCTGTCTGTCTGTGTTACCCTCCATTTATTCATATCAGTCACTTTATGGGATGCATCTTAGTATTCAGTATCTTGTTGCTGCTCTCATTTCCATGCACAGAACATGTGTCCAGTCACAATGTTGTATGTAACATCTAATTTCTGATTATATTGTTATCTTGCCTTTGACAGTTCAGTTAGTAATACATATTGTTTCTTCAACTCGTTTGCTGTAGCATGCATGCGTTTTCTGTAATAATAATTATTTCATGTAATTATCTCTAATACATCTATTTTTTTAGTTTCAAACGTAAATAGGTTACATTTTGCAAGGACATCTCCACTTCTTTTGTTTCTGTTCCATTTCATTACTCATTAATCATCCTATCATTTGACACTATATATATACTGAGCTACTGATAGTGTTATTAAATAAGTCACAGAATAATCAAATAAATTATATATGTATTGGAACCAGTATCGTCATCGGATAGCATAACAGCAACTCTACACCCTTTGTACTATGAAGGTGAATGGGGTAAGCACAAACATATCATATCGATATTGATACAAATCACGACAAATATGTATTTTCAGAGAACTCATTATGGCAGTCTAGAATAGAGATATTTGTTTCGTAAGCAAAATTCAGTGGCCATTTCTCACCCAAGTCTCTCCTGATTCACTACTAGATGGCTGTAGTAGTCAAATCAGGATTGAGTAGAAATTGTGCAGAGGCAGTGGGCTGGTCACTCACTACTAATAAGTGCACGCTTCAAAGACAAAAAACCTCCTGCATGGGAGGAGGCCAAGGTTTAACTTCGGGTTGTTGAGCCATAGAAGAAGAAGAATAGAGATACTCTCAAGCAATCAGTTTGTCATCTTCGAAGTTTGCTGCATATGCCTGTTTTATAATACTAATTTGTATACCACACGTAAAGCCAAATTCTTGAATGTGTATACATCTTTTTGGGACATTCTGTATACAACAATAGAGTATGAAACTGAACTGAGCATTGAATCAAAGTCAAACCTGATTATTCTACTGACTTGGATTCCTAACAGTAACTGCTCAGATATGAAGTACAAACACAAGATGATGGTTTCATCGCTAACATAATTTTCAATCTTAGTGTCTCTTAACAGTGTGTCTGTTTCACTTAGTTTCTTCATCACGTTTTTGTTCTGGGGGTCTCTGGCGAGCAATACAAATGGTCTACAAAAGACAAGTTCTGTTCGGTCTTGGTTTGTGAAATGGTGCCTGTAATGCTTGCTTCTTCATGTCTTATGCATGCCTGACTCATCCAAGTTGACTTCTGTCACCTTGTGCTTTTGGTCTGGTTAGACACACCTTCCCTCTACACTTATATATTAATATAACATGGATATAACTAATACAGTATACATTCATAAGATGATCAGTGGCCAATGGATGCTTTTATCCAAACTTTGACTGTGTATGACATTCGTTTTCTTTTATAAATCCTGAACACACATACCTTTAAGCTGAAATTTGTTAAATTCCATGAAGTCTTTGCCAAATTCAATAGGAATATTTGTGATGTGTAGTGTATCAGATTTATATTTTGAAATTAAACTATCATCATCAGGAAAACTATATTTGATGGCTTGTAATAAATATACATGTTGCCTGTAACCTGTGATAAGTTATATAGGAGTGAATAATAGTTACAATTAGCACCCCTTTCAGAATGTTTGTACCTAAAACTGTTACTGATGTAGTATGAGTTTTGTAGGTTCTGAAACACTGAATGTCCAGAAATGTTTTCTGGTGGCATCCCCATGACTCGGCAGTTGGGATATACCATTGCACCATCATTTCATCCCAAAAATTGCTGCTAAACAGAGCTGCTGGGAGGCTGAAAATAAAAATCAGTGTGCCTCACAGCTGTATTTGATTATATCAGTGTGGTCTAATGAAATGAAACTGTGTGGTAGTTAAATTATTGGAGCTGTTTGGTGATAACATACGAACATATGATAGAAGTCAGTCCTGTGGCTTTGGCAACTGGCTTCTCTTATACTTGGTACAACTCAAAATATCTCCCAGCCAACTTAAGAGGCACACCTATGAATAATCCTACATTTGGTTGCTATTGCTTGAACATCCACTGTGCTGTAATAAAGAAAACAGAACTTGTGTCAGTTTTGATATCATTGTCTGCCCTTGAGGTAACTGCAATGAAATCTGTAAAAGCTGGTCTCAGTTATGGAGAAATAATATGTGAAGTAAGGTTTCCTGATCAGTTGCCAGTTTAAACTGCATGAGATTGTGTTCAGCATCCTTAATAGTGCTATCAATAGTGTGTGTGTTTGTAGTAACATGTTCCACATGCCTTATGACTATTTTGTCAACTAAATGACAAAGCTAAATTTCTTGTCTCATCTCTAACCTTATTTATTGAGGACTGAAGTAACTAACTAACTAACTAGATGGCCTACCGAACCCGAAGGTTCATCACCGAATTAACGAAAGCCCTCCACCAGACCCTGTCCTGGGCCAACAAAATCCAGTCTCCTTCAACTCCTATCTCCC